TGAAAACAATAAGTAAAAATACATAAATAGTCAATTTTATAGTGTAGAAGAAAGAGAAAATCTGGGTTTTTTTCATGCATTTTAATAAACTCTTAAATAATATAAACGGTTTAATAAATAATAAATAATATAAACGATTTCACATTAAAAACAGGTTAGGTATAATAATGCCTTGGGAAATATGTTTTAATATATTTTGAGTAAAACAAAACAAGCAATAAAATAAGCTAAAAATAACAAAAAATAGAAATCAAGGTATTTTCTTTGGGCGTTTTTTATGAAAATATTATTTGTTCATATGCTAAACTCAAATGTTAAACATGTTTTTAAGTTTACACAAATGAGCTTTATGTCAAATACTGAATAGACACCATGAATTGATAACTAAACATAAGTGGAAACTGCCTGAGGTCAATCCATACTACAAATGCTGAGTTCAGAGACAAGAAAGCCCTCTGCTGTCAATAATGTGCCAAACAACATGTTTATATCAGTCAGTTATTGCAGTTAGTAAACAGACTGTTGGAGTGATGTTAACACAAGGTCAAGTAAACCCTTCAGCTAGCCTATATAAAATAAAATAAAAATAAAAACATGCAAATCAGACTTTTATGATCTAACTAAAATTTTGGTTTCCCATGTCGATGGCACAATAAAATTTGCAATGCAAAAGTTTAGTAAAGTTAAACTTAAGCGGTTATGCAAAGTTTATGCAAAACAACCATCAAAAACAAAAATGCATGTCATAAAATCTAAATCCACAATCTAACCTTATTCCAAATGCAAATTCTCAACAAAAACATTTAAGTAAAAATTCATGAACGAAGATATGAAGACGTCTACAGGACATCGACCTACAAGACAAAAACAGACCTTAAGAAATGTAACCATATTGACTTTTACTAAAGTAACCATAGTTCCACCATGGTATACAGTGACCAACTTTTAACTTAGACATTTGTAGTAAAACCATGACAATATAAATTATAATAAAACATTTTTTAAAATATTTTTTATTCATAATGACAAAGACAATGTGAATGCATGAATACTTCTCCTTCCTTACACACACTACTATGGACTACATTTCCCACGTTCCCAGACGTTAAATGCCCGAAACGCCACACGCTGGTGACCTCTACTGGTCAAACAGTGTAAATGCAACGAAACCTCAGTCAAAACATCCATTATAACTTTTACAATCCAATTGCAAATGTTTTATTGAAAGTGTAATCTATTAACTGGAATTTACAAATCACTTAATAATCTGAAATTTATGTATAGATGTTATAGGTAGGCCTATAACCATTGACATTTCAGCACGTTCTCAAACATTGTTCACTGAAATCACGTAGCCAAACTTTTGCAGTTTATTTGATACACGCTCCGAATCGCTGGTTCGAAACAAATGATTCACAAACGTTTCGAAACAAAAGCGCCAATTTGCTTGGCTAGTTGTTAGAGGCATTTTTGTAGCACGACTCACATTCAAAACGGAACACAACAGCATTTAGACACGGATTATCTTAATGGTGAAGAAGAACATTGTGAAGAGTCTCTGCTAAAGGCGGCAACAGCTAGCCTGTTTATTAATTTATTTAGGACTAGCCTACCTTGAAAATGTATTTCTAAAGATTGTTTAAGTTCAATAAATGTGTGTGTGTGTGTGTGTGTGTGTGTTTGTGTGTACATATATATTCAACCAGTAATAACAATGCATGTGTGAAAAATTGTAACTAATGAACATAAATTATTCACAGTGATCAAGATGGCAGCATTATTTCTGCTTTGAGGCGAGTAGAATCAGGGGACAATACAAGTTTGACAATGATATTTGTGGATAAAGGAATATAATTTTTATTAAATGATTAATTGGTGAAGCAAATACAAAAAGCATAGGGGTGAGTGAATGACAAGTGCACTGTAAACCCTAATAAGTTGAGACTACTCAAATGATTTGAGGAAAGTGGTTGCGTAAGTTTTTTTGAGTAATGGGAAAATTCAAACTTAATTAATTGAGTTGACCTAATGTGGTCTTCTTGTTGAATTAACTTCAATGTTAAAGTAAAGATAACTTAAAAGGCAAATGGAGTAAACTCAAATTTTCCAGTTTATATTTTGTTGTTTACTTATTATTAAATACATTTTAAATAAATTATAAATCATTAAACCAAGTTTTGTTTTTCACATCAACAGCTTTATTAGGCTTACATTACATATCTTAACTTCTATAATGCATACTGACTGAACATTGTATATTAACATTTAATCAGTAAAAAATACAATTACAATACTTGTAGTAAATTAAATCAATTGATTAAAAATTTCTTTAGAAATCGGTCATTTAAAAGTGAAATTGACCAGATCAGAACAATTTACCAGAACAATTAAAAACACAGTGTAATGAACAGCAACAGACATTGTCTGTTATTGTAAATATTGTCATCTACTTTAACTTATCTTATCTTTCACCCTTTGTAATAGTTCTGTGTGTCTCTCAGTTGTCCTCGGTGTGAATAGATAGATCTCAACATCTTACAGTCACTTTTAGAATGGGTTCAAATATTAAAAATATGCTGGAAAACCAAAAAATGTGTCAGTGCTGCAGGCTAACATCAGCGAGATCTCATCCTGGGTAAACTGCGGCAATGAGACCCTTTGGACCAACAGTGGCAGTCCTTCAGATGAATGGTTGGGGCAGGGATCGGAGGATCCTGTGATTAAAATAAATAAATAAAATTAAGACACATTTTCTCTATACATTGTACAGTACTCATTGTTTAAGCACCGGTTAGAGTGATATAATAATAAAAACAATACAAAGCAATTTTGCTATTTGGACAGCAACAAGAATGGAAATAATCAAAGCAAGTCAAAGTGCTTTCTTGCCGTTTCAGTAACTAAATAAAAATACAAGATAACTTGGGAAACTGAAATGTATTCAAACAAAAACTCTTTCTGTGTGCGTTACCTTATTGATGACTCAGATCTTTGAAGAGCAGCAGTAGCCTATTCGTGAAGAATGGCAGCATTTACCACCTGGCCTAAAAACAATCATAAATATACACAGTAAATTACATCATAATAAAACTAAGTACATGGTAGATTTCTACACTTACTAGAACATTGAAACAAACAAAAGGAGTGAAATTTACACTGCACTTTAACAATTATGATATCATTTTAAGTATGTTGCTAAAAAACACCTTTTCTGCCTTCTTTGCCTCACACAAATCAAAAGTCAGCAGCAGTTCTTCCTTCAGTGAGTTACTGTTTCTGAAGCCTCTGAGAACAGTTGAGAAGGAAGTGTCTGCTGATTTGTCAAAGGAGAATACGTTAACAACTCAAACATAAACGCACTCAATTTAAATCAACAACACTCAATATTATGTTTAGTTAAATACTCTATTTAAAAAGGTTTTATGAAAAGGTTTTTATTTGCACTTACCTTCGTCTGATATTTATGTCTGGAAAGGAAACACAGGACGCTGTCAGTGCACGCAGTAACTGAAGGCAATGGGCTAGAAAATACGGTTCAGAAAAAAATATGACATTTAAAAACTTTGCCGTTGTGTTATGGTAAACATGTTATTTACAATGATTTTATTAATTCACACTTACCTTAGTCTGATGTAAATCTCAGAGAAAATACCGGGCGCTATCAGCGCGCAAGATTTGAATGGAGCAGGGGCGGGAATAAACGGCTCGAAAACAACGTCGGGCTAGAAAATACAGTTAAAAAAACTGTTACAACATTGAACGAATTGTGATGTTATGTTCTGGCAAACATGTTATTTAAAATAGTTTTATGAATTCACACTTACCATACGTTTTCTCAGACTCAGAAAATACCGGACGCTCTGCGCGCGCAAGAAGAACTGCAGTGAGTCAGAGGGGCTGCTGCGGGGGAGGGGGGAGAACAGGCTCGAGTGTCGAGACTCGAGACAGTCGTCGATTAAAAAAAGATTCCATTTACAGGTGTCAGGAATTGAAAGTCTCGTTCCAAATGCGAAGCCTGAAATGTCTGTACGTGATGGACGGGCCGATTTAACCCCTAAATGACTGTTTTATGCAGTGTCAGTCCCTCTGGCCTGCTGCCTGCATCAACAAATTCACGATGAACAAAAAAAATACTGTCTTGTGTATCGACCAATCAGCGTGTTGTCAAGGCAGAATTTCGGCCAATCATATTAAACAGACATATAGCGAATCATTTAAATAACTTGAAATTTTGAGTTCATAAAACTTAAAATCTTAATCTGAAAGATTATTGCTGCCAAATGAGTACATTAAACACAACTGTTTAATTTTTGATGCAAAAACTTGCTATTGCAAGTAATGTTAAGTTATGATAACTTGATTTCTTTATTAATGATAACATTGGGGTTTACAGTGTGTAACGTCATTCTAAGTTTAGCATCTGCGCGTGGTTTCTACATCATAATAGATAGAGATAGATAACTGCTATACAAACAAGTTAAAGATAGATATGGGCGTTGCTTGGAAGAAGGTCAAGTGTGTGAAGTTTGTTTGTGGTTACACGACCCTGTTTCAGTCATCTAGAAATACTTTTACATCTCCACAAAACAAGAAAATAAGGCTGATACGTAAACATCTGATATGAAGCAGACACTAGCTGAAACATAATACAATAGGCAATCAAACATGATATAAATGATAATGGAAATTAAAAATTATAAGCACACTAATTATATAAAAAGAGGGTATTAAATGCATAATAAAATAACAATACTTGTTTTGTATTTTCCAATTCATTTAATCTCTTAATTTAGTAAATATTTAAAAAATCTTTAAATCATAAACAGTAACATTGAATCTCTTGTATGAAGTTCTTCTGCTGCTGATGACGGTCAGTTTATAAAGTCCAGTGTGTTCAGATCTGATGTTTCTGATGGTCAGAGATCCAGTGTGACTGTCCATCTGGAGACTGTTTTTGAATATTACATTATTGTTATGAATATTAATGATCTGAGTGATGATCAGTGATGGTGTGTGATCTGAAGACGGTAGATGATCTCTGTGTATTCTGACAGGCTTTCCTGATCTACAAACACACACATGGAGATTTTCAGTGTTTTTAACATTATTATATATTATTTCATCAGGTGACATTTCACACCGATATATTTTCTATTCTATAATAAGCATACTTGTTATTTTAGAACTATTAAATGTTCAAAATTCAAGTTAGTAATATAGTAATACTTGCCCTCTGGTTTTTCTCGGTTGCATTTCCTGCAGCAACAGTAAAACACACACGCAGAAATTAACAGAAGCAGCGGCACACACACTGTTATAATGGATATAAATGATGAATATGAAGTTGTTTCTGTAATAAAGAAAGAAAGAAAATGGTCAATCCTTTCAGTCGGACTTCATGAACTGCACATTTATAAAGAAAATATGTTGAAAATGTTGATGTACCTGCACATGTGTGAGTCTGACAGAGTTGAGTGATGTCCAGATGTGTGGTCTGGTTGCTGATGGGATTGTTCACCACACAGCTGTAAGTGTTTTTATCCTGATATTCCACATCCAGAGGTAGAGAGAGACTGATGCTGAGATCACACACACTGATGCTGGACAATACACTGATTCCTGCGTACCAGGAGAGAGTCACATGACCCACATTCAACACTGAACACACCAGTGAACAAGTCTGACTGGATGATGATGAATAACAGTCTGAATAGTTTCTGGTGATGACAGGAATAGGAAGAGGAGCTGGAAAACACAAAAGAAGAGGTTTATTATCAAATATATATAAATATTATACGAAGTATCTGAAGATTTTTAATAATTGCAGTTCAATAAAGGGAAAAATATGCACAGATGTGCCACAACAACTTCAACAAGATAGAAAAAATAATCGAATGAAAATGTTATTTTCAAAGTTATATTGTTTTGTAAAGTTTGGTGAATGTTTCTTACAGAAAAATCCAATAGTAACACAAGGAGTCAAGTTTGACACATTTCACAGATTCTCACTTTCTAAAACACTATCACATTAAAATAATTCAATTTTTTAATTAAACAATTAAAATACGACATAAAATAACATCATTTATTTTATAGTTCCCTATAAACAATAAATAAAAATGATCATTGGTCATACATATTTAATGGTCTCTGCCGAACATTAAACGAATACTTTAAAGTAAAATTGTATTCAATTTACTCACCATAGACAGAAACATTGAATCTCTTGTATGAAGTTCCTCTGCTGATGATGACCAGTTTATAAAGTCCAGTGTGTTCAGTTCTGATATTTCTGATGGTCAGAGATCCAGTTTGATTGTCCATCTGGATTATTTCCTCAAATATCACATCAGTGTCATCTATATAGATGTTCTGTCTGTGTATTTCAGCAATACGCGTATCTTGAGGTCCAAACATCCACAGTATATGATCATCTCTCTGTACTTGAACATCAGTGTTTAGAGTGACGGAATCTCCCTCAGTCACTGACACTGACTTCACTTTATCTGTACCAGCGCCAAACACACCTAAACAAGATATAAAAATTATATCTTTATCTGACAGACACTTATATAATCTAATTTCCTGTTTAATCATGTACTTCTAAAAGGTAAAACATTTTTATCTCTTGTACAAATGTATTTGTGTTTAAATAAATGATCTACGGCTGATTAAACGTGTTTCTCACCGCTCAGAACAAACAGGATCAGAACACACAGATGAGAAGACATCGTGACAGAAACAAACGTCCAGCCGAGAGTCAGAAGAGCGGCTTCCTGATTAAAAAGTTCAGGTATTTCCAAAGTCCAAACTGCTAAATCAAAAGCAAGCTAGTTTTAGTAGTCTCTGTTCTGTCTCGCTCTCCAGATAAAGTTGAATGTATTCTTTATCTTCCTCTTAATATTTCAGAAACTCTCACTGTGTATCTCATGAACAAATGTTTCATCACAACATCATTCTGGATTCCTCTTCATCAGAAAACTCTCATTTGATGTTGTTTCAGAGTCTATCAGGTTCTCAGAAGGTTTGCTTGTGGTTGTGAGAATAAACTGCATGTCTCACACTCTCACGAAACACAGACACACATTATTAACTGAACATCCGGCCAGCACATTCAGTTCAAACACATTTACTGACCTCAATAACACAAGAGCTGACTCCAAAACATGTCCTGGATCACACACACAATACAATTATGAATCTCTTTCACGCTATTTGAATAAGTGAATTAAAAGTTTATTGATTTAATTGTCTGTTTTAATTCAATTCATATAGTAGGCAGATTCATCAATTGTTCCTAAATTACAAGTTGAGCACATTTCATTATCAAATCAAATGCATTTTACACTTTTATGTTAATGCATAAATCTTGTAACCTCCTTGTTAAACTGCATGATGGTTTTGGTGAAATCAGTATTGAATGAGGAATTATGATCCGTGATGGTGTGTGATCTGAAGACGGTAGATGATCTGTGTGTATTCGGACAGGCTTTCCTGATCTACAACACAAACACATGGAGACTTTAAGTGTATTTATTAACATCAGGTGCTGCTTTCTGACATTTCACAATTATATGTTTTTAGATATTACCAATATACACAGTTTTCATGGTAAATCTATTAAAATGTGAAACTATGAAATTTAACTAGAAATTTATAGTTAAACTAATTTGCATATAAAGAGGATTGTTGTCTTGTCAGTTAGTAATATAGTAATACTTGCCCTCTGGTTTTTCTCGGTTGCATTTCTTGCAGCAACAGTAAAACACACAGGCAGAAATTAACAGAAGCAGCGGCACACACATGAATATCAAATTAAATTTATTCCCTGACATTTCTGTAATAAATAAAGAGAAAATGGTCAATACTTTCAGTCAAACTTCATATACAGTATGAACTGCACATTTACAAAGAAAAAGAGTTGTAAAATGTTGCTGCTGACGTACCTTCACATGGTTGACAGAGTTGACTGATGTTGTCCAGATGTGTGGTCTGGTTGCTGATGGTATTGTTCACTACACATCTGTATGAATCATCCAGACACTGAATCTCCAGAGGTAGAGAGAGACTGATGCTGAGATCACACACACTGATGCTGGACAATACACTGATTCCTTTGTACCAGGAGAGAGTCACATCACTCACATTCAACACTGAACACACCAGTGAACAATTTGATGATGATGACAAAGAGTCTCTGATAATGACAGGAACTGTCAGAATACCTTAAACCCATAAAAGAAAAACATATTTCAGGAATGAGCAATTACTGATATTGATGTGTGTAAAGATCTTCAATCATCATAGATCAATAATAAATAAAAGTGAACATCCATATGGTCAGATTTGCATTTGATTTAAAATGAAAACCATTTAACTTATTCAGTTTACTCACCATAGACAGCAATACTGAAGCTCTTGTGTTTGACCCCTCCATTAATGATCAGTACTTTATAAAGTCCAGAGTGTAATGTGTTGATGTTTGTGATGGTCAGAGATCCTGTTTTCTCATCTATCTGTAATCTGTCTCTGAATCTCTCATTCTCACCACTATCATATATAGAGATGATCTGTTTATAGATCTCAGCGATACGAGTCTCTGATTTGCGAGGTCTAAATGTCCACATAATCTGTTCATCTCTCTGTATTTCAGTAACACCAATGTGTAAAGTGACAGATTCTCCCTCCATCACTGATATCATCTCAGGTTCATCTGTATAAACGCCAGACACACCTGGAACAAAAATGAATAACAAATTCTTATCTTAGACATCTTTTAGTTTAATTAAAAATAAATAAATAAAAGTAGTAAATGTAAATGATTACAAATTCCTATGAGATTGTGTTGGTATCTTAACACTATTTTATCAATACACAATGTAAATCCTACCGAGGCATTGAATAGTCGATTTAAAAATATGTTTATAAACTTAAAATCATAACTTAACACATAAAAACCATAAACAAAAATAGATAAATGTGCAAACCGTCTTATTTAACAGCAGTTTGGAAGCGTAAAATGCAACATTGTACAATTTGGGGTCTGCCTCAGCCAGGTCAGTATCAGCAAAGACTAACTTGACAATAGTGCGACTGTATAGGCTACTACAAGATTTGAAGTCAATAAAATATAACTTACCACCCAAAAGCCATAGAAAACAACAGAAAAATTGATGAACCATCATATTCGCTAATAGCCCAAACAGTCTGGAAGCATAAAACGCAAAAAAAATAACTCTGAAACCCACGCAGATAAAACCTATCAAAAGGCGGTGTCTCACTAACTAGAAGCACTACTTACCACTCTCAGCCTCACTGCATCAGTTTTAACAAACACACTTGAAGAGCACAAGTTTTCCAGACAAAATTATATTATTTATACAGAGAAGATCTAGTAAATAAACTCTGTGCATCAGTAAACAATCCACATATAGTAATAAAAAAGTGCACAAACTATAAAAGTGATTTCTATTTACTCACTGCACAGACCAAACAGGAACAGAACACACAGATGAGAGGAAATCATACTCAACTTCAACAAACTGCTATAAGAGCATTTAAACTGTGAGCGGATCTTTCACACACTCATGTTCTCATTATGAGGTTTATATGGGGTTGAGAAAACAAACCACACACTTGACTTTACACTCACACAGACACACTCTTGTGATTTAACTTCACATCTACACAACACAATAAACCACAAACTAACACAGGCTAGTTGTAACACACATGGCTTAAAACTTTCCACACATGCCAGCATGACAAAACCTAGTATTTAGTTGCCATCTCAACACTATATAGAGCAAAAATTGCGCCATAAATCTGAAAATCTTTGGAAGATTTCACTGAACATTTCACAAGTTCTTAATCTTTAAGCTAATACGGTTATATTTGGCTTGCTGTCGGCAGTTCAGGCTCGAGGAAGCAGCTTCAACGGATAAACCCTCCAGTGGACTACTAATGCTAATGCCTAAATATGCCTGCATTACACTGGTGGGGCTGGGAGGTGGAGGGACGCTAAAACAGCGGATGCCGGAGCAAGGCGAGCGGCTGCTTATGATCCGCAGTTCAAGGAGAGATCAGATGGGTGCACTCCTCCCGAAATTAAGTTTGTGAACTTCACTTGTTTAACCATAGCAAAAGTAAATTACTTACTGAAGTTCATTTTTCATCCCAGTTCTTAGTGTTTATATACAATGAGACAAATCTAATATTTTTGTAATCTTAAATCTGTTATTTGACAGTTGAGATAGTTATTTAATGCTGATCTAACCAGCAGAAGACACTATTAAATCCCACTTGTGCAGGTGGGGCATGTTGTCACACTGCGCTACAATGTTATGCTATTCTATTCTATACTGTTATGAATTCTATTGAGAAACCATGGGAAAAGTTGAATAAAGACTGAGAGTCAATGTTCAGAAATGTATAATTATTATTATGTTTTGAACTGTACATCCTTGTTTGCTGGTGAGTTCGTTGTCAAACTCAAAAAAAATTGTTTATTATTAATTATTAAAATATTTCATTATTTTATATGAAACAGCTAATAATTGTATTTTATTGACAAAATATTTAAGTTTGTCTTGTTGGCTATATATATATATATATATATATATATATTTGATTAGATCAGTAAACATTTTAAGCTGTCAAATGGTCATGTTACAATGTATATTATGGGGCATGTTGTCACATTTCACTTTCATTCTTTCGGGGTAAATCAAGAAAAAAAGTAGGCTATACACTGTATTAATGAAACCAAAACAAAATTGTACTAGACATGTGGAAAATGAATGTGGGGGGAAAATACTCTGAACCTAAGTGTATTTACTCAAACTGAGAAAGTCCAAAAGTGTTAGGTTGTGCCCCGCTCTCCTCTATATGGAGCTCAGAGAGCAAGTCTGAACATCCAAAGACAGATGAAGACTGATGGTCATTACTGTGGTGACACTGACCTCTGCTGGTGGAAATGAGTCATTGGATGTGACAAGTTCTCAATAGATTTCAACATTGAATTCTATAGTGGCTTCAAAGTGAGCTAATAATATTATTATTATTAATATGATAACTCTTCCTGTTTTGTGTCTAATTCATTGTAGTACAATCTATGAGATTTAACAAGATGTTTGTTTTTACAACTATTATTCTCTTTCCATGAGAATAGGCTTACATGCATTAACTTGAACTTGAAGGTCGGGAGAAATTAATTCATACCTGTTTGTGGAATATTATATCCAACCACATTATGTCCCATTACATAACAATGGTCTACCTGTCAATCATATCCATCTGGTTGTTAGTGTAGCATAAGGTATGGGAAATAATAATAACATAATCAGAAAGAATATTTCAGAATAAGAGTTTATTTTCCTTAAAATACATACACAGTAAATCCCCTGTAAAAAAACAAAAAAACAAAAAAGCAAGTACAAAAGACCACAGAGCTGCTAATGTGAATATTGATTAAATTTAGCTCCGCCAGCGCCAGAAGACTGAATATATATATATATATATATATATATATATATAATTATATATATACAAATCAATGTGGATTTTTTTTATTTGTAAGTGAGAAATGAAGAACTTTAGAATTGTTCTCTAACATATAGGCGTAATCTGCGGGTTGGACATGTCCCCACAACTTTTTGAAATATTTTGCAGCACGGATGTTAATTTTTAAAAATAATTTTAATAATAATTATATATATATATAATTTTAAAATAATTGTCAATTTTTTAAAAACTCA